AAGGCTTTCTTTTTTGTTTTCTCTCTCTACATTCAGTTTCCTCTGCATTGCTCCCCTGTGCCATCATGATGTGGACTGTTAGCTTGTAATGCTGCAACACCAGCAGTACAAGAGCAAATCTCTTGGATCTTAGGAGTATTCTTGCCCATTAGAGCTAAATTTTACATGAAGCTTGAATTGTTGAGAATTTGAGCACTATTACAGCTCGTATCTCTGTTAATGATACTGTTTTCAGGAGTGTTTTAAATCTAAAACTCTTTTGGGAGGAATATTGTGCCCACAAGTAATTTGAGAGTAAGAGCTGACTATTATTATTCTTGAGTGGGCAACTTTTGGGATTTGGGGCTCACACACAAAGTTACAAACAATTTTTTTGTTAAATTATTTGACTGTAATTTATTTCATCAGACAATTAAGTATGAGTAAGGCCTTCAGTATATAACAGCTAACAGTTTATTTCATCAGACAATTAAGTATGAGTAAGGCCTTCAGTATATAACAGCTAAAGTGGAAGTTCAGATGCACAAAAAGGGGCGTATCCTACACCAAATATAATGGGCAATGTTGCCTGTTCTCTTATGATTACTGAGATACTTTGAGAAATTACAGGGGTTGCTTCAGCCTTAAAAAAATAAAGATATTAAAAATAAATATGTGGGTTTTTTATTTGTCAGGTCAGACATCTTGCCAGTAGGATCTGGGACTCTGTCTGCTTTTCTCACATAGGATTGACTTAAACATTGATCTACAAGAAGATTCTAAGTTCTTTCTTCCTCACTCATTGATTTACACGTCCTTCTGCAGAGATAACTGCCTTTAGACTGGTTTGAAGAGCAGGTCTTCTCCCTGCTCACAGGTTAGAATACATTACTCTAGCAAACATGGCCTGTTTGGTCCGTCTTGGTCTTGGTAAGGTCACTTGATAGTTAGTTTCCCTCTCCTGTCTTTATCCTTCATCCTATTATTTTAAATAGGGAACCTCTTCCAGCAGATTATAAAATGGACCAGCACTCACACATTATCTTCATGAAAGAAAAGTTGTGGTTATCCTCTGTAATGACAGGCAACTGGATGTGGAGACAGGGGATCTGCAACATGGATTCATGGCCTTGTGTTTTAGAAAGAAGTGTTTCTTTAAGCACATAATCTGTGCTTACTCTTTATTAATGGCCAGTTGTAACCAGCTTTATGCCTAGTTTGACACTTTGAAGAGTATTACTGTCTTCCAGCAGTTCTCTATAGACCTGGGAAGGTGCTTGGATTCCACTCAGGGAAAGTAGCAGCTTGAAAGACAAGGGCTGCATGGTGTTAACTTACAGTTAATGCTGTTGGTGGTGGTGGTTGTTGTTGAAGGACATAACACTGTTAGAAAAATTAATCTATTTTCTGATTAATCATTTGATTTCTGAAGAATAGAGAGAAATAAGTCAAATGGTTCTGGAGGGATTTCAAGCAGACTATGTATGAAAAATTCAGCATCCTTGGCCTCCTTTATGTTAACTTGAACAGCTGGGGTCTGCCAGAGATAATGTGCGCTGTCTCCAGATGGGATACCACGTGTCACTGGCTGACTCTTCATTAAGAGAATTAATTGCCTTGTGTGACTGTAACCTGCTGCAATAAGGCAGCAGTAGGTTAATATTGTAGTTCAGTAAAAATAGCATTTACATACACTGAAAATTCACCAAGAAGCCAACATAATATCTTTCCCATAGTGGAAGTTAATCCTCTCTATATACATTTCAGATTTAAATAATATAAACCTAAAAATTTGTATTGTGTTGTCTTAGGTAGCGAAATACAACATATGGTAAATAGGGCTGTACAGATACAAATCTTTAAAACCCTCTTCAGCTGCAAGATTCAATTGTCATGTTTTGTTAAGTTTGTTTTGCGAAGCAAAGGCAGAGCTTATGCACACATTCAGAGCAACAGAGGATTTCCTACTATGCCCCAGGAAAACTGAAAAACCAAGCTATTCTCTAATGGAGTCATGTTCTGCTGTAATGAAAATGTGGTCTTTTTAGAAAACAGCTTTAAAGCTAATTAAATAGGATATTAGGCAACCTTAGCTTGTTTTTAAGAGTAATGTTATACAACTGTATTTGCAGTTTTAGCTGTCAGCTACTGTGTTTGTCCACAACAACAGCAAATCATGACATAATCTATTTAATTGATCTAGATAGTTTTGACGGGAAAGCTGTAACAAAAGGTTGACAACACAGCTGCCAGATCTCAATTTAAATTCTCCATCAGCACTACTGGAAGAGAGATGGTCTAAAATACTTGCTTTATAGAAGAACTTACTAGTGGCATCTAGATGAATCCAGCATTGGACTTTATGGATGCTCATGGTTAGATCACAAGCAGAGCAGCTGATGTATACAGTAAGCCTTAGCATGACTTTATTCTCTGTCACTTTAACTGAAGTCTTTGGGTGCTTAACAGATATCATCACCTTCTATATATATTATCAATAAAAGTATAAAGACATGATGATGGGTACCACTTTCCAGTGTTGCTGTATAATAAATGCCTCTTTCTCTAACCTAATAGGAATTTCTCTGTATCCACAACAACCAGAGATTTTCCATATTACTTTGTAAGCTTGTGCCATAGAAACTGAAATCAGCTGTTTACTCTCCTCTGTTTGATCCTTGCTTTCGCTAACTCCATTTTTTTACAGAATTTTTTCCCCAGAGAGGTCAGCATGGAAATTAAAACTTAAAACATGAAAAATTCACATTTATTTTCCTCCACTGATCTCTCTGTAATGTGTTCCTGAAGTAAGCAACTACATGAGACAAGGAAGAGGAAATCAATATTTGAAATACCAAGACTAAAAAGATAATTGTACAGAAGTATATTAATAGATTACTGTAAGCGTGGGTCGTTTTCCCAACAGAAAGGCAAAATTATTGAAAAACTGATGCCAAGAAATCTAAAGCAATGATGAGCCATCACCCGCTAAAAGGCCAGCTACGGGCAAGAATCTTTTGTTGTTACGTACTTAGGAACCTCTTGGGGATGACTTAGTTGTCTGAACCTGTTGAACATCACAGTAAAATACTTGAAAATCTGACTGAACAATCTTCTTGCCACCAGCAATCCTCATTAAGTGTTTTTAGGAGATGGACAAGACATCATAATATCAAAGACAAATACAGTGCCCATCAATAGCCTCAGAAGGCAAGCAGTTGTCCCAGAGAAAATACTCCTCTCTGTGTCACAGGTAGACACAGCCTTAGGAAATGGCCAGTGGAGTAAGGCTATGTGTTGCCTGGCAGAGAATGAAGTTTTCTTCACAGGATGCTTTCAAGAAGAGATTTCCTTGTTTGGAGGACCACAGATATAACTGGCTATATTTTAAGCAAGTGCATGGACTAGACTAAGCTCCTTCCCAGATTTGTCTGTTTTATTCCCCCAAAAAATAACCAAATGTAGAAGTATTTGGAACTTTAAAGCCTCAATTATTTTGTTTTTCTAATGGAATGATACTAAAACTGGTGCTGCAAATGCAGGCAGCCTTGGCTGCTTTCATCATGCAGAGACACATCACATGTAAAATTTATGTGGATGATAAGGACTAAAATGATTTTGAATTTACTTTATGGCTTCTGATGCATATACCAACATTCTTTCAAAATTTTGGAGAAAATCCACAAATAGATGATTTCATTATTTACAGAACTGAGTTTAAAAATTCATAAAGTGGCACTGTCTCTTTTGGATTTTACTCGTTAGAGTTAATGGGCCTCTTGACATAAAAGCATTCTTGGCAGGTGCTCTAGCAGTCAATCAAGTAAAGCACTGATGTAAAGCAGCTGAGCTTCCTTTCACCACCACCTGCTGCAACAGCCCAACGTTACACCAACCCAAGAGCACACAGTTCACAGTACAGATGCATGTGCTATTTTATTCCTCTATATTTTAAAGTCCCACAGCAAAGCTGAGCCTCCAATTAGCTTCTTTATTGACGTTATACTCATACTCCCCTCAGGTCCCTGCATTCAGCTGTAGTAAAGATAACTCAAAATGGTTTAGTCTTGGAGATGAAACCAGCACAAAACAGAAAGATAATAAAAAAATCTCAGAACAAAAAAAAATTCAGCACATAAGAATTTCCATTTTTTTTATTCTTCTGTTCTAGTTAGCGTCAAAGGTTTTTCAACGCCACCCAATGTATGAGTTCACTGAATTTTTACTCAAAATGGCAGTATCTGAAATACAGGAGAAAATACAAAAAAAGGCATAAAAATTATTTGTGATGAATTGTTGAATGGTAAATTTTGGACTGAGGAGTAGAGAAGTTAACAGATGAAGTTGTAGCAGCTAAGTCATGAAAACATCTGAGAATGATAATATGTCTCTGAAAGAGTGGTCAGGCAGTGGAATGGGCTGCCGAGGGGGGTGGTAGAGTAACCGACCTGGAGGTGTTCAAGGAATATTTGGATGCTGTGTTGAGGGACATGGTGTAGTGAGAGCTACTGATGATGGGTGGTAGTTGGACTGGATGATCTTGTGGGTCTTTTCCAACTTTGGAGATTCTATGATTCTATAAAGTGTCACAAGTTCTTTTCAGCAGTGGTGTTGAATATATTAAAAAAAAAGAAAAAAATATATTAAAAAAAAAAAAAGATGGATTTGCTAGCTAGGCAAGAAAAGCCAAGCATATAGTAGTCAGTGTATCTCATGGGGTTTGTGTCATGCAAAGGATCAGCAGATGAGGAGAGAGCCTGCACCTGCTCCCTAGCGCGTTTCTCCGGCATTGCCCAGCACCGGCCGTGCCTCCGATCCGTCCTCTCTATCTCTGCATCCACTGGGGTGCACAAGCTGCAGGGCAATTCCACCTAAGCTCCTGAGAAAAGAACAAGACGCTACAGAGCAGGGGTGTTCCCCACTCACCCTGACCCGAGAACAGCAGTGGTCCACGCGGGTGCTCCACGCGGGCGCTGCCCGCAGCCGCCCCCCGCCCTATGTGGGCGGGACAGCCCAGCCCACGCAGGGTCGGGCCGCCTCTTGGAGCCGGAGCAGCGTGCCTTGCCGCATCGTGCTGTGTCGAACCGGGAACCACCGGAGCTGGAACTGGTCCCGGTGTCGGTCCCGCGGCCGCGCCCGCCGCTGCTGGGGGAGGCGGCGCCCGCTCCGCGCCCCCGCGCCCCGCCCGCCCCCGGCAGCAGCGGCGGCAGCAGCCTCAGCACCTCTGGCAGCTCGGGCAGCAGCTCCAGCGGCAGCAGCAGTATGGACCTCTCCTTCATGGCCGCGCAGGTAGGTGCAGTCCCGCTCCCGCTCCCTTTGCCAGGGGTGTCGGCGTAGCGAGAGCGTAGGGAGGCGAGGGATGAGTCGCTGCGCCGCGTCGGGAAGGGGAAAAGTGGCAGAGGGGGAAAAAAAACAAAACGAAGAAGAAAGGAGGGGGAAATCGGGGAGAGGAGGCTCTGAAGTTGCTGGGTGCAGCAGGTGTCAGCGCCCAGCGGTAGGACCGCTCCTCGCCCGGCCCTGGAGCGCATCACCTGGGCCGCTCCGCTGCCATCACGCTGGGGAGGCTGGCGAACGCAGCGTCGTCCCTGCCTCCTGCTGTGGGCTATAAATAGAAAGCGGAGATCTGATTTTTCGGTTCTTTTCCTCTCTTCCACGTTTATGCACACATCTGTGTTTGTACGAGTTGTCTTTGCCGCACGGATTCTGGCCTGGTGTATGCAGAGATGCTCCTGTCTGTGTGGCCAAGTTGTTTCAAGCCATGACTAAGTTTGGGCTTCAGCTCAAGGGTTGTTTGTGAATATTGGCGGTCAATGTAAGAGAAGTGCCTCAGCTCTATAGAGCACCCAAAGACAAAGAGCATCTTGTGAATCCAAATGAATTAGATTTTTAAACAGACAAACAGTACAGACAGCATCATGCACATTGAGCATCCATTTCATGTTTTATCATAATGATTTCTTCTATCTACAGTAGAATAGTTCCACTGGAAGAGACTTTTAACTATCATCAAGTTCAACTCTTTAGGGTTAACCGGACCTCTTTAGGGTTAACCAAAAGTTAGGGCATATTATTGAGGGTACTGCCCAGAAGCAAGAGCACTGGCAGCCATGGGCCATCAGCCACTTGTCTAAGAAGCGTGTGCCAGAGTTAGACCACTCATAGCAAATATGCATTTTCTTAATGTCAGGTTGGAACCTCTCCTGGTGTAGTTTTGTTGCTGTTCCCATTCTGTTGTTGATTATAAGTGTGTGACTATAAATACAAAATTGTGCGTATAAATAACTCTGTGTATGGATGAAATTGTTTTCAAGGATTATTTGGATCTAAGTTTGAATTTTTTGCCAAAAGATGTTCTCCATTGTTAAGAGGTGAGACAGAAGCCCACTAGGCTTGTTGGTACTGCTGCTAGCTGAGCTCCCTGTATCTGACTTCTGGTCCTCAAGACCCTGTGTCCCCATTCTGTAAGTGGAGGTGAAGTATGCAGCAGCTTGTTCCAGTGATGGGAGCGCACTGTGCCAAAACTGGGACTGGTACCACCCTTTGGAGCCTCTGCTTTACTCTTGTTGTCATGTTTCATGCATCTTTTACCCCAGTTCTGTACGTTCCACTGGTCTGTGCTTCATTCTCACAGGGTGAGTTCCCTGTATAAATACACCTTGCCCTTACAGAGACTGCTACTGCAACAGTATCTATCCAATTGTGTCCATGTCTTCCCGATTCTGTGAAGCTGGTTGGTTGTTGTTTGATCAACAAGTGGCGAAGAATAATCCATTCACAGTTATTATGGTGAACATGGGGGCTTTCTCAGACAGGACAGCTGTGGGCTCTCCCAGCTGGTGCCTGGGCTGAGGTCTAGAGGCATACCCTCAAGGGGTTTTTGTGTAGCTGTCTTAGAATTATAGGAGAGGTTTTCTGGGACACTACTAAGGAAAATGCTTTTATGTTGCTGCATGATGTAGATGCTGCTCTTACCCCTGTGCTGTTCCCCTCTGTTAGGCCTTTTGCACCTCTTTCTGACCCAGGCAGTGCTCCACATCTGTGATCACAGAGGCACTTACCCACAGTGTCACTTCTTGAAGTGATGTACCACTCTTCTTCCACTTTCTTTTCTCTGCAGTATCTTTTCCTCCTTTTTTGGAGTGCTTTTTGTGGCTTTCCTGGTGAAATGGTCCACTGAGATGACCCTTGGTGGGGAGGATGTATGAGAGCAGAGGAGAAGGCTGATCATTCCTAAAGATTCTCTGCTGTTACTCATTAGGGTCCTGGTGGTATTCAGCAGGGCTGGCATTTTACCTGGTGAATGTTAGGTTAATACTTCGCGACAAAATAGGCATTTCCTAAAGTGAGATCCTTAATGACAAGAAAGCACTGCTTGCTTCCCAAGTGAATTATAGGACACTTCAGGCTACGTTCCTGTAATTTGCTTTTGTGCCTTGGTCGCCCTGAAACTATTTCTTATGCTAGCAGAAAGATTAATGTAGTGCCCTCTGAATGATGTATTACATGCCATAGAAAGGATAACATTTTGCTATTAAAAATTGCTGTGGAATATTGGAGATTGTCAGAGCAGCAATGCTAACAAATGTGTGCACTGTAGGTACAGCACAAAGGTTAGGCTGCCCAGCTCAGGCAGGCACTCATGTCAACAGCTCAGCTGTACATTTATTAGTGTGTAATGAAGAACAGCTTTTGACTCTGACAAATCCCTCGTTAAAATAAGCCCTTTCACATCTGTGTGCTCAGCAGCACTGGGCTGTGGAGGCTTCAGTGTTCCCTGCTCTGCAGGTGCTCTAATTGATTTCTGTCAGGTCACTTGTGCTAATAGGGAAAGCCTATTAGTTACGATTTTTTTTTTTCATTTTGAATCCAGATTTTAATTAAAGTAATCCTATGTGCCTCAAAATACCATCAAAGATGTTCAGCTGCTGCTGAGCTGTATGAATGGTGTGTGTGTGGCTTGTTTCAAGTGATTTCAGAGTGCTCTTGTAGTCTAGGCAACCTGAGAAGTAGCCTCTTATAGGTAGGGCCTTCAGCTTCCAGCATAGAAGCCTGATTTGGGGGACTTGAGCACTGTGTCCAGGCTAAGAGCAGTCATTGCTTTTCAGAGGTGGCTGCACATTGCTTCTGCTGTTGAAATGTTTAGCAGCAAAGCAGGGGTCTGGGTTTTGCTATCAGATGTTTGGTGGCAACTTGTTCCCCTCCCTCATCTTATGCCTAAGAACAGGCTAAAGCATTTTCGCTGGGGAAGCTAATAGTAAAAATTGTATCAGAGTTAATAACATTGTGAGCAGGGCTAGAACATCTATTCAACATGAAAAATAGAGGCATGCAGTGGGAAGCTACAGAGGAAAAAATGATGTCATAGTCCTCAGTATGATACAAATCGATATTAGCTGAACAGCACTTGCAGTCATAATAGCAGTTATCTGTTCTTCAGGATTTGTGTTTGCAATTTACCTTTCCCTTAAATGACCTCTATGTTTTTTGTTTCATACTGAGAATGCAAAACAGACTTCAACTTGCAATATCTTTATAGTTGGGTATATGTACATGTAGTAAAAATACTGCTGTAGTTACCATATAAATGATTTTTTCTTTTACTTACAGAACAGAGAAAAACAAGAGCTTTGAGAACATGCTCAATTCTGTGAAATTGTTTTTGTCTTACATGCAGTTTGTGTATTTATGTATGTGTTCAGGAGCTCTTTTAAAACTGAGGATCTGAAATATGGTAAATAGAACTCTGTGTTTAATTTCAGTGAAGAAAAGTGACATTTATTTTTTTTTTATCTTGAATTCCTATTATTTTTATATATAATATATATAATAATTCCTATTATTGTTGAGGATTTTTTTACCGTAGACAATTTTAGAAAGCATGACTCTGGTCTATTTAAGGAGTTAGAGAAACATGAACAAACTTAGTACAGAAAACAAGGCCATGTAATAAAGAGAACTTAGACTTCATTGGTTTTGTGTTCTGTATCACACTTCTGCTATTTCAGGTCTGATCAATTCCAGTCACTGTGTCTCTTTCATTGTTTTGGCAGTAGTTCAGGTCTGCTGTTTTCCCCAAAACAGGGCAGTGGGTCTTGGTGTACCTTGAAGAAGCACTGTAGCTGCCTATGCCCTTATCAGCATGAGAAGTCTGAGGCTGTCATGCCTGTATATTAAAAGTATGTTGTTATGAGCTGTGTAACTTCTGGAAAGCACTGGAATACCCATAGTAAACTGAGTTTGTTTAAGATGAGTTTGATTTACTATTCATATTTTCCCAAAGATACAGACTGCTCATGTCTATGCTGCAAAATTGGTGTATGTGTGTGGAGGGTTTGCTTGGTATTTTGGGAAATCTAATCATCTGCGTGAACAGAGCTGCTGCATCTCCAGACATCTGAGACATAACTGCTGCTCCCCTTAATTCCTTTCTAATGAGATTTCTGGATGCAAGAAGAGGCACAATTAGGACTTGCTGTAGTCTGCTGTACAGAATAAAGGATCTAGAGCCCAGAATAATTCCACATCTGTTTTCCAACTTCTCTCTTAATGTATTTTCTGTCTCGAGGGTCAAGGCATTCAAAGACTTTATTAGCTGTGTGCTCTCAGGAAAGTATTCTGAAGATATTAAACCCAAAAGAACTTAGATTTGTGGGTTTGGTAGTGGGTAGGTTATTTCCACTGCCTTAAAACAGATCCCAGGCTAGCTGCTCAACAAAAGCCTCTGTGTGCATGCCTATGTACACATTTATTTTCTGTGAAAGCTAACTGCAGAGACCATCAGACCTTTGGGTTGTGTTTGTGCTTTGAAAATCTGTGCCGATTTGGAAGCTTTAACACCACTGATGCAAGCTTAGGCAGACACACTGGTTTTATTTTACTTTTTTCTTTAAAAATTGTGCTTGCCAAAAAAAATCCCACAAAACTCTAAGGCAAATCATGTGGCAAATTGTGATTTAACCTTTCCTTGTCAAAAGCAGGACTAAGATTATAATCAAGTCTGTGAGACAAAAACTCTTTGACCTGTAGAATCAAACGCTAATTATGCTAGCTAGGAATATGTGGGCATTCTTTTACAATTCAGTGGTTGCTTATGTACTGAATAGTAGGGTACTAACTGTTATTCTACCAGCTCTGCTTCCTTCCAGAGGTTAAGGGGAATTTCTTTGTCACTCTAATTCCTCCAGATTGTCTTGCCTTATTGTAAATAGAAATCAGACATTAGAAAGCTGAAAGAGCAAATCAGAGTTTAACTGAAGGTATCTTAGGTGCTTGAAGTTAAACTTCAGTGC